GGGAGGAAATCCTGAGGTAAAAGGGGCAGATTTTTGGTTAAAAAAGGCAGATTTGGGGGTGCTGAGGCGGGTTTGGGGTTGAAAGGGGCATATTTCAGGGTGTGCAGAAACATTTCTGAGGTAAAAAATTCCGATTTTGGGCTGAAGGAGGCAGATTTTTTGTGGTTGGAGGAAATCCGGAGGTAAAAGGGGCAGATTTTTGAGTATAAAAGGCAAGTTTGGGGGTGTCAGAGACACTTCTGAGGTAAAAAAGGCAGCTATTGAGGTGAAGAGCCAAAAGTTGGGTTTTGGGAACGTATCTGTGGTTAAAGAGACCAATTTTGGCATGTGAGAGAAAATTCTGAGGTAAAAGGGGCAGATTTTGAGGTAAAAATGCAGATTTGGGGGTGAAAATGCAAATTTGAGGGGTGGGACAACATTTCCAAGGTTAAAAAAGAATTGAATTTTGGGGTCTGTGGGCAGGCTTTTAGGTAGGAAAGGCAAATTTGGGGGGTAGGCAGGAAATTCTTAAGTAAAAAATGTGGATTTTTGGGGTCTGGAGGCAGATTTCGGGGTGAAATGGCAGAATTGGGGTGAAAGAGGCAGATTTTGGGGTCTGGAGGGGAATTTGGGAGTAAAAATGACAGATTTGGTGGAATAGGGGGAGATTGGGGAGTCTGGAGGGATATTTTGAGATGGAAAAGGCAGATGGGGGGTGAAAATAGCAGGTTTTGATGTCTGGTGGAGGTTTTGGGTTGAAAGAGGAGATTTTGTGGTGAGAAGGGCAGGTTTTGATGCCTGGAGGGAGATTTGGGACAAAATAGGCAAATTTTGAGGTAAAAAGGACAAACTTGGGGTGAAAATGGCATATTTTTGTGGCTGGAAGGAGATTTTGAGGCAAAACAGGCAAATATTGTGGTAAAAAAGGGAGATTTGGGGTGAAAATGGCATATTTGGGGGTCTGGCGGAAGATTTGGGACTAAAAAAGCTGACTTTGATGCCTGGAGGGAGATCTTGGAACAGAAATAGGCAAATTTGAAGCAAAAAGAGTCAGATTTGGGGTGAAAGGGGCAGATTTTTGGGTCTGGAGTCAGATTTGGGATTGAAAAGGTTGATTTTGATGTCTGAAGGGAGATTTTGGGGGTGAAAATTGGAGATTTTGGGTGAAAAAGGCCGATTTGGGGTGAGAGAGGCCGATTTGGGGTTGAAGGCTGCAGTTGTGGGGTGAAAAGTGCTGGATTTGAGGGCCCACACCTGGGGGAGGGGGGGGAAGTGCAACCTCCTCCATCAGTGCAGTCTCTGTGCCAGGCAGGATCATTCCTGTGGGACACCTTCTCCAACGGGTCTTGGAAACAGGAGGATATAGATATTCAATATCCATATAAATAGTCAGTGTAGATATTCAATATTCATGTAGTTATTCAATATTCATGTAGATATTCAGTATTCATATAGCTATTCAATGTAGCTATTCAGTATTCCCCTAATATGCAATATTTATTTCCTCTGTTAAAATTCTGGTAGTTCAGTATCTCGTGAAGATTATTAAAATGTTTAAAAACAGAGGGAACTGTTGCAGAACTGTGTCCTTCCCCCTCAGCTCTTGCCTTGCCAGTCCCACAATCCTTGATTAAGGATCTTCTATCAAGGCCATCTGATTTTTGGCAGCACAGCAGTGACCCTCCATCCGCCTGGGAGAAGGTTGTTGTGTCCCTTTTCCCTGTCAGGATTCCCGCTGCCATGCTCTCCTCCCTCACTCTCCTTCCCTCCCAGTCCCCTCACTGTTTGCTTTGGTTTGTCAGTGAAATCCTGGGGAACTCTGCATTTCTGGGACTGTAAAACCCAAAGCACAGGACCGGGTGGATCCTGCTGGTCCTGAGCTGCCTCCCGCTGGCCACACTCAGGAACTTCACTGTTTCCAAGCTGATTTCCATTCCCTTAGGATATGGTGACCCCCTGCTGGTTACTCACAAAAAAGACATTCAAATCAATGAAATCCAATCCCTTCTTTTATTACACTCCACTTTGGAGTTTTGTGGGGTTTATTAGTTTTTGTTTCTACTTTTCACATTGGTTCCCACATTTTTAGACAGGGTGGGATTGTTGGGGTGTCCTGTGCAAGGCCGGGAGTTGAACTGGATGATCGTCCTTACGGGTCCCTTCCAGCTCAGGATATTCAGTGATTCTATGATTTTAATGACTAGACAAACATTTTATTCTGGAGTATTCCATAAAAAAACGATGGGAAGGGCTTGGATTTCCATTGCAGCTAGGCCAGCCGGGGCAGTGCTGTGGCAGTGTCACACACTGTGCCTTCCTTCCCCAGGTATTTAAGGTCCCTTTTATTGCTTGGAGAATCTGTCGAGCTGCAGTGATGAGAAAACTGTGTTTGGTTTTGCTTTTTCCAGGTGATGGCAGCAGTTCCTCCTTTTCCCTTCTCTCCTCAAAACAGGAATCTAAAAAAAAACCCTGTTTTGCTTTTTTCTCTCAGCTCTGTGAGTGTTTGTAGAGCACCGGTTCCAGGGGTTGTAGGGAATTGTGTGGAGTGGGTAACATTGACACTGATGGTTTAATGCCAGGGAGAGGGGAGAATCCAGGCAATAAATGGGTGTGGATTGTGATTTCCTCGAGGAAAGTCCTGCACAAATTACTCACAATTCCAACACACAGCACAGCTTTCCCTGGCACAGGACAGGGATGTGTCCTGATGTGGCTCCTGGATCCCTCACTTCTGCTCCTGTGAGATCTGTTCCCTTACTTTGAGTCCCCAGCCCAGCAAGGACATGGAGCTGCTGGAGAGAGGCCAGAGCAGGCCCCAGGAGGATCCCAGGGCTGGAGCAGCTCTGCTGGGAGGAAAGGCTGGGAGAGCTGGGATTGTTCAACCTGGAGAGGAGAAGCTTTGGGGTGACCTGATTGTGGCCTTGCAGGGCCTGAAGGGGCTCCAGGAAAGATGGAGAGAGATTATTGACAAGGGCTGGAGGGACAGGACACAAGGGATGGCTTCAAACTGACAGAGAGTAGGGTTAGGTGGGATATTGGGAAGGAATTCCTGGCTGGGAGGGTGGGGAGGCCCTGGCCCAGGTTGCCCAGAGAAGCTGTGGCTGCCTCTGGATCCCTGGAAGTGCCCAAGGCCAGGTTGGATGGGGCTTGGAGCAACCTGGGCTGGTGGAAGGTGTCCCTGCCCATGGCAGGGGTGGCACTGGATGGGCTTTGAGGTCCCTCCCAACCCAAACTCTTCTGGGATATTGTGATACTTACTGAATGTCTCAGAAGGGGTTCCTGAGCCCATGGATGCCCTTCACTGGTAGTGCTGTTTCTCCAAAGAAAGGAAAGGTAGGAAACTTTATTGCTGTTCTCCCTTGACTGAAAAAAAGACTTCAGTCTTCACTCTTTTGTCCAAAGAAGGGCAACAGAGCTGGGGAAGGGTCTGAGGAACATGTCCTGGGAGGAGCAGCTGAGGGAGCTGGGGGGGTTTATCTGGAGAAGAGGAGGCTCAGGGGGGACCTCATTGCTCTCCCCAACTCCCTGACAGGAGGGGGCAGGGAGGGGGGTCGGGCTCTGCTGCCATGTCCAAGGGAAAGGAGGAGAGGAAATGGCCTCAAACTGCACCAGGGCAGGTTCAGGTTGGAGATCAGAAACACTTTCTCCTGCAGGAGTGGTCAGGCCTTGGAATAAGTGTCCCAGGGAGGTGGTGGAGTCCCTGTGTCTGGGAGTGTCCCAGAGGTGTCTGGATGTGGCCCTTGGGGACAGGGATTAGGGGTGATTGTGGTGGTGCTGGGGTGGGACTGGGTGATCCTGGAGGGCTCTCCCAGCCTTGATTCTGTGATTCTGTCACCAGAGTGTGTGATTTAAAATCCTCAGAGGATTCCTCTTGCTTTTGCAGGGCTGCTGCAGGCCAAGGCCTTGGGGCTGCAGGTGTTCCATGGTGGCACAGCACTGAGGGATGGCAGGGTGGTGACGAGTGGTGGCAGAGTGCTCTCCATCACTGCGGTCCGGGAGGACCTGCTGGAAGCCCTGGCAGAAGCCAACAGGGGCGTGGCCACCATCCACTTCCAGGGAGCCACGTACAGGAGGGACGTCGGCCAGCGGGGCCTGCGGCTGCTCCGACAGCCCCTGTATGTAAGCAAAGGCCCAGATGTTTGTGTCTGTTGTTCCTCTGTGGGATGGCCCTTGCAGAAAACGTCCCTGCTGCTGCCAGCACGTCCCTTCCTCCCCACAGGGCCCTGATGTACAAAGAGAGACGTGTGGAAGCCGCAGCCAGGGACGTTCTGTGTCACCTGCCACAAGCATCAGTTGTGAGTGGTACCAGGTCAGGTAAGACTGGGGAGAATATTTGAATTTCCTCAGTATATTGGATGAAACAGCATTTTTTTTCTCCCCAGGAAGTGAGCAGTGCATTTGTGGCATTGAACTTGAGCTGGGGAAGCTGGGCTGGGGTCACCACAAAGAAACAAAACTCTCATTTCTTTCTTGTCACTCCTCTGATGATTAATTAAAAAATACTTGGCTTCCCCTGGAGGTGATCGTGCTTTGTCAAGGTGCAGAACAGAAAAGAATAGAATAGAAATAACAGAATAAATAAACAAATAATAGTTTAAAAAAAAACCTGGAGAAAAGGAGGCTCAGGGGGGACCTTCTGGCTCTGCAACCCCCTGACAGGAGGGGGGAGCCGGGGGGGATCGGGCTCTGCTGCCAGGGAACAAGGGACAGGAGGAGAGGGAACGGCCTCCAGCTGTGCCAGGGGAGGCTCAGGTTGGACAGGAGGAGGAATTTCCTGCTGGAAAGGGTGGTGAGGCCTTGGCAGGGGCTGCCCAGGGAGGTTTGGAGTGCCCAGCCCTGGAGGTGTCCCAGGAAGGACTGGCCGTGGCACTCAGTGCTCTGGGCTGGGGGACAAGGTGGGGATGGGGCACAGGGGGATCCATGGGCTGGGAGGGCTTTTCCAGCCCCAATGATTCTGGAATTCTGTGCTATATTGCAGTTCTTGTCTTGATGAGGGTCTTGGGTTTTTTTATTTGCCGTGGAAATGACCCTTGGTGTGTTTGTACTTGGCAGGCAGTCGCCCAGAACTGGGAGGCTTTGCTGGTTTCTTTGACTTGAAGACATCTGGTTATGAGGATCCCATCCTGGTGTGTCAAGCTAAAGGCCTTGGAGCTAAACTGCAGGTAACTTGCAACTGAGCTGTGGCAAATCTGGTGTTACCTCCCAAGGCTTTTAAGTGCCACTGCCAGTCACAGCATCTGCACCCTCCTGAGCACCATAAATACACCTGAGCCCACTGCAGTTGGCATCTCAACCTTGGAGATGATCATTTGAGCAAGGCCTGTCACTGAGAATGTGGATATTTTGTGATGAAATTCTAATAAACCAAAAATTTAGGTGAGCACTTGAGGCACTAAGAACCAAAATTTCTGTCCTTTGGCTTTGAGAGACGGGGAGGGTTGAAATGAGAACTGTCAGACTCAGCTCAGCAAACTGTGTGTGCAGAGGGAGCACAGTTACCTCTCCCTGGTAACTGTCAGGGCACTGGGGAAAGGAAGGATGGAGGAAATAAACATTAAAGGGGAATAGAAGCCAAGAGATAAAGAGTTTTAATTACCCAAGAACACGCAGGATAAGTTGAACCAGGGATATATTTATATATTGGATCAGGATAAACTGAGCCAGGGATATATTTATATATTGAATCAGGATAAGTTGAGCCAGGGATATCTTTATATGTTGAACCAGAAGGTTTTCAGCCACCAGAAAAGGGGAGACCCGAAGCTCCTTTCACTGGTCAAGCACAGCAGCATCACACGTTTGAAGTTGGTGCTTGTACCTTTAATAACAGGATGATAAACAGGAGACTGCAGGGAATCATCCAGAAGGTCTTTTGCAATCTTACATCCTTGGACACCTCTGAGCATGAAAAAGGGATTGGTACTGACTCTTGTGAGTCTTTGTTCCAACTGCTTGGCAGAGAGACATTCCCAACTGTGTTTCCACAGGCTGTTCCCAAGATTCTTCCTTGGCCAAAAAAAAGTTGGCCAATGGCTTTAGGAATTGTTCCTGAAGCAGTGGGAGGGAGGTGCTGTAATGCACCAAAGGGTGAGTGGTTTCCATAGCACTCCTAAATCCAGCA